TATGCTGAAGCCAAGAGTCGGGATCGGCGAGCCTTCAACGCCATTTGCTGCTCTATTTGTCTTGTCGACTATGAGGAGGAGGTGGAGGATAAGGCATTGAGGTTTTTGCCAGAGTGTGGACATTTATTTCATGCAACATGTGTGGATCCGTGGCTATGGCGGCGACAGACTTGTCTGATGTGTCGAGCATTGGTGATGAATCAAGACATGCAAATATCTTTAGCCGAGGTAATTCCAATTGACATTGAACAATTGGCTTAGATATATACAAATATGGCAATCGAATGTGATAGTACACATCTATAATTTATAGTAGATTAATGCCTGCCCGATTTTACATAAAATATAAATATACAAGTTTGTTATTTGTCTGTTTGCCTGTGTGCTTGAAGAATGTTAAAAATCATATATATATATATATATATATATATATATATATATATATATATATATTATTGTTGATGTATGACAGTATATTACTTGTGCTTTTTGAGTTGTTATGTTCCATATAAAAATGCTGTGATTTTTTTTTTCAATTCTACTTGTATGTGACTAAGAATAATATTTGACTATTGTGTATGGCTTGAGATTTGATAATAATTTTATCTTATGATTTGTTTTTTTTTTCAATAAATATAATATTATAAATTAATGATCATTAATTTCAAGAAGCAAGAAGGATAAGAATCACATTAAATTAACTGATTGAATGGTACTTTCCCCTCCGTATTTGCAAAACTTTATACAAAGAAGATAGATGATATGCCAACAAGATGGCTACACTAATTAATGTTGAAGCCTTGAAGGCATAAGGAACATTAATATTAGCAATGTTGATAAGAGGTAATGATTGATTTAGTGAGCTTAGTTTTAGAGCCAAGTTTTGTATCTGTCGAGGATTAGTTGTTGTGACATTAATGGAGCAGATTCTTTTGTTATGAACAATGCTCTTAAAGGTGTGGTGTTACTTTGTTATAAGGATGTAAAGATAGAATATAGGAGTTTGAAGGAGAAAATGAAATATTATAAGAAGGTTGCCAAATTTTATGGTAATATCTTCTCTAAATGAAGAGGTTCGAACCTGCTGCGGAGTCCAATGTAAGTCGCACTTTCCATTTTTCTTGTCTTGGTTATTTTAGTTATTAAATTTATTATATTTGCATTCCATGTGCAGAAATCTGAAGGCCGGAAATTTCAGGAAATCAAACCCATGAGAATGCACAGTGCTGCTTGATCTTTATACCAAAAGAATTCAAAGGATTATCTTAATATTTTTTGTTTTGGTTCTATTTTTTATTGCCTATATTGAACCTAGCAGATTACCAATGAGTATATGAGGTTTTCATGTAGAACATTAATGACAAGTTAAAGACTTTGTGTGGAACAATCTTTTCATGTTGTTCTTTGTACTCATTTGTTTAACTTTCGCCGCCAACCACGTCCCCAACCCATCGGGTAGTTCATCAATGAGGTAGAGGAGGACGCCGACCTCACACTAATGTGCTGGAGCTGACGGACTCAGACATTGCGTTGGGTTTTAGCAATAGGGCAATGTGTCTAACTCGATTGATGAAGAAATACTACAGTATTTCCCACCCCCACGACACCTCAATGACTTTCTCCCAAGGCTTCTAGGTGAGTTTATGGTCAAAATGTATATCCCATTTTTTTATGGGAATACTACAGGAAAATCATGTATTACCGGAGGGCTTTCCGGCGGAAAATTATTAAATTTCCGATGGATTACGAAATTTTCCAACGAATTTACGGCGAAAAGTTTTTCTACGGTAAATTGAGCGTTGGAAATTTTTAGTCAAAAAAAAAAAAATCACCGGAATAACTAAAAACATAACTCCCCGTCGGAAAATTCGTCAGAAATGATCATTTTTCCTGTAGTGGAAACTACATATTAAGGATTTTCTAGATTGAGAACAGTTCGTATAGACGTTCTTTGAGTATATGGACATTCCACTTAACAAGCAAGTAAGTATGTGATGTGCCGGTTGAGGGGCGGTGCTAGTGCATGGTGGAAACAATGTTCCAAGCTCAGCACAAGGAAGGGAGAGGCAACGTATGAAAATGGGCTAGAATGAAACAACTTTTGAGGAGTCATTATTTACCTACATATTATGAGCAAATACTCTATATGAAATTTCAATACTGTCATCAAGGACAGCAGAGTGTAAGTGATTATACGGAGTAGTTCTACCACCTTAGGTTGGAAGAATTTGAAATTTATGAGTATTTTTAACATGATGTAAGCTAAAATCATATATTTGAAAAACTTTTTAGCTGTTTAGTTTCTATGGTAGATGATAGTCATTAAAGTTTTTTTTTCATAAAAATTACTTTTAACTTTTTTTTTTCATTTTGTTATATAATACATCAAAAATACTTAAGCTATCAAATTTAGGTATCATCTTCACGAATAATATTGAATAAAGAGTATTAACATCATACTCATTAAAATTTATAATATATATTCAAATTTATTTTATTAATTCTACGATATTTATATTCTATATATTCTACATTGTTCAAACTTTTATGTTTTTAAGGGTCTTTCACCAATTTCAACTATATAACATTTGAAGAAAAAAATATTAAAAAAACAGCTTGCTATACCTGCATCATATATATATACTGCGGATAAATAAGGAAGTGACGCAAAAATGTTTGAGATCCATCATATGGAAGGGTCGAATATATTGAATCATTTTGCTTGTCAAATATTTCAATTTAAAATAATATGCAATAACAACAAAAATAAATTATTAAATAAAAAAAAAAACCGAGAAATACCAAACTTAATGATCAATATTCAGTTGATCAACACCTTCAACAACATTTTGTTGATTAGAACCTCACTTCTATCAAAATAAGAAAACTTGGTATTTCTTTTGAGTTTTGAATATAAAGTATATCTATAAGAATCAGATATTTAAATTGATGTTAAGAATCACATTTTCATCAGTTCTAAGTTTAAAGTAAAATCATATCATGGTATATTGCAATGAAAAAAGAGATAAATTCAATGGTTAGATATTAAATTTGGGATTTTGTTTAATTACCTCTTTCTTCTTTTTTTTCTTTTTTTGAATTACCTCAAGTAACAAAAGCTATTGGGAATAAAGAGGTCTTCAAAACTAAAAGAGAATTTTCAAATAACATTAAATGACATCAAGCAAGACTTATTGCTAAGCGAATCACTCATCAAGTGGAGATTGATTATAATAATATATTCTCTCCAACCTCTAAGAAGAGGACTCTTTAAAGCCATGGCATGCACAGGTCATTTTGTTTATGAAGTTACATCAGATAAATGTGAAAACAATCTTTTTGAATGGAGATTTAGATGAAGAGAGACTTTATATGAAACAACCAAAAGTATTCATCCAATGTGAAAATAATTAACTTGTTTAGAAATTTAAGAGATCTATGTAAAAGGACGACCTTCTGATGACCATGTTAGGAGAGTAGATGTATTAAATTTGACCTATGTTAATAAAGGCAGAGGTAAACCTAAAAAGACTTGGTTTGAAAATATTAGAAATGACCTTTTCTTTATTTGATTTAAATGAAAATTTGACTCTTAACAGGACACAATGGAGAAAAATGATTCATGTAGCCGACCCTATGTAGTGGGATAAAGACTTGATGTTGTCGTGTTGTTGTTGTATGTATAAGATAAACCAACTCTCCCACCAATAGTATTTAAAGTTTCGTAACGTTACATTTCATTTTGTTTCATGGAGTTTCTGATGGATCAATGCATAATTGCATATACTATAAGATTAGTGGCATTTTTTTTTTTTTAAGTGCAATACAGGGTTTGTAATATGCCTTAAACAATTTCATATACTATTTGGCTAATAAGTTCTATTTCAAAGCTTATAGTTATTGATTATATCTCTAGGTTGTATAGGTTATATTGTGTTAATTTTGTTATAGTGTTTATGGCTACGAACAATAAAAGAAATCAAAGTAAATATATTGACATAAACCATTTCGCAATTAGAGAAAACATTAAAGCAAAGAAGGTGAAAATTAAATATATCAACACTATGTTGATTGCAGATCACTTGACTGTATAAGCATTGTTTTCTACAAGAAACAAGCATTGTCATATAAAAAAACATGTGCAACAAATGAGATTAAATTTTACTTCATATATGTGCAATTAAGAGGCCCTTTATTTTAATATAATATTTAATATTTAAAACTCCAATTGTATAAAATTGTATTTTTTTCATTGTATGCATAACATTTAGAGAACAACAATATAATGATTTATTTTATAAATAGAGATCCTGAAAGAACAAAAAGTAGTCCATACATAAAGATATATGCCACATGATGCTCACATAGAATGGAACATTACAAGCTAATACATGGAAGATAATACTCGATTTTAGAAGACTTAACACTAATTCATTTTTTTTTCTCCTATCCCTACTTTCAGTTTTAAGAAAGACAATATATTCATATCATAATAAGTATGAATGAAATCAAGATTAATGAGCTATGTGGGAGATTATATTTCATTTGGATAAATTATTATATTTCATTAGTAGAAAAAGGAAAGCAATTATACATTCAAAACTATTTGTCATATCTATAAACATTTTCTTAATAAGAAAAGAAGATAAATGAGGAAAAAAAATAGTTCTAGAAGATACAAAGAGTTCTTCATTTAGGCTCTTTGATCTAACAAGTAACAAGTTAAGCTTGTGTGATTTCATCATATATATATTATTTGGGTAGACTAACAAATCTCTTAGCATTCATCTGATAAAATTCTGAGAAAATGCTCCTTTTATCAAAACATTAGACCAAAAAAAAAATTAAAAGTAACCAAAAATACATGATGTCATTAATTAGTTAAGATAAATAATGACAAAAAGGTACATGTTACATGAATTTTTGCTTAAAAACCATATAGACAAACTCTTTTTCGTGGGGAGAAACTGAAGCAACATCACATTTGAAAGTCAATAGGTCACTTAGCTTTTCAAGTGTCATTTGTTATAGGTCACTTCGCTAAGAAGTGATCTTAGAGTTTCAATCAATCAAGCATGATGATCAACAACAAACCAGTAAATCAAATTGAAATAACATGTATTTAATATTTATTAGCTGTACCTCTCAAACCGAATGTGCTTGTTGTGTTTTGGTATCTTGAAGGAAGTTAAATACACAATCTGAAGAATGTTCATCAATAGCATGCTTTATTATATCAATTGCATTGTGCTTAAGGCTTTCAAGTTCATCAAGAAGAACTTTTGCTGAAATGAAAAGAAAGAGAAAGCTGTAATTCAACATCCAATTATAGAGTTATCAGAGCAGGAGATGGAATGAATACTAGGTAAAATGAAATTCCAAACTCAATTCATGCATTAAGTAGGAAAGTGCACTTAACACCTTATAGAGATGACAAAAATAGATAGTTGTAGATGTAGAGACTGCATGAATATAGGAAAATATTTATTCATTGAAAATATTTATTCAATGGAGTATTCCAAACCAAAACCTTATTCCATGATCAACACCAACTATAAGTTTGCTCAATAATAGAGGAAATCAACAAAAACGATTTGAACTACAACATGCATTGTTGATTTCTTGATCTAATGACACTTGATAGGGAGTGTGCCGGAAGGGACAAAATTAAAACAATATTTTGTAATTTGATCAAATAGATAAAGTACAGAGGTTAGAAACAATCATAAGTACATCTACATTAATGAAATTTCTCAACTATCAATCTGAGCAATTTAAAAGGCTCTCAATGACCTCAATAATTTAAAGAGGGATATACTCCTCTTTGGTGAGGCTATGAAATCAGGTGCATCTCTACGAGGAATTGGTTATATTAAAGCTACATCATGGCAACATGGGGCTAAGCCTATGCTCCATTGAAGGCCACTTGAGGGAAGATTGGCAAAAGTAAGTGACACATTTGGGTAATATTTGGACTTGTCTTGCATGTGCCATGTTTGCCCCATCAATCAAGAAATATATATCCTCTAATTGGTCAATAATCCCATCAAGCACCTCAAATGTTTGGTATTTAGCAAAGATATGTGATTGTATATGTGGCCTTATTTAATTTGAACTTATTAAAATAATTTCAAGGTAGTTATTTGCTTGTATATAGTTTCCCTTAGCACATAATTCAACTAATGAAATCAAGTGAAATTGTTCCAAAACAATTCCTACATTGGGGGATCCTTGGGACTATTTCTTCAAAATGAGGAACCTTTGAGTAATCCTTTGGAATTATTTCTTCCAACTAATGAGCCTATGAGAGAACCTATGAAACTATGAATTTAATGTGTGAAATTTGGATTTCATTGTAGGAAGAAGTGGTTGGATGGGACACCAAGAACCATGATTGTGATAGTTAAATGTAATATGATAACAATCATGATGATGAGGAGAGATTTGATCGACATAACCATAATCATAAGACGTCAAAAACGATGAAAAATAAATTTGTGAGGGTAAAGTAAAAGAAAGAGAGAATCATAAGTTATTGTAGAATACCCAAACAACATATAGAGGCAATAAAGTGATGAGATACATCATAATAAGATTAAGGAGTGTTTAATGAATGACGGTGAAGAACATAACCACCAAAGGCATGATAATCTTCTCTATAATAGTATTGTAGAGAAAAGTGCCCCTTGGGGTCACATGAACATACTCCCTTTGCCTCCAAATAGCCAAAATACTGTAGATAAATAGTCAAAATATAATAGTAAATCCAAAAGGCAAAAGTGTCCCTTGGGATCACATGCACATACTCCATCAAGTGAGGGTAAAATCAAAAAAGATACAATAATAAATCAAATATAAATAATAGCTCAAAAATAAAGTGATGTAATCATGGCCATAGATGGAGCCTCTTCTCTAGTAAACTCTTCACTGTCGGATATCCTCATTAAGAGGAGTCGAAGGAGATTAATAATTTATGACATAAACTATGGTATTTAGGTAAGAGTGGTGCTAGACATGGTGTATGTGTGATTATATATAAAAGTTTGAAGGATAATGTTGTAAAATTAATAGAATTGGAAAAAAAATAAAGCAAAATGTTATTCTAAGATTAGATGGAGCATTTAAAGAACACTAACAAAAATATTTTTTAGAGTAAGATTCAATATTTTAAGAATTTGCTTGTGTATATGGAAGCTAATGTTATGTGGGAAAAGTAACTAGTGATATTAAGAATGTTACAAGGGATATACTTGGAGTATCTAAAGGAAAAGCTCATCATAGTAAAAATAGTTAGTGGTGGAATCAAAATGTATTAAAAAATATCAAAAAATAAGAAAATTTATTATAAAATTGATTTAAATATAAAAACTCTAAAAATTAGGAAAAATATAAAGAGGCCCATAAGGAGTCTAAGAAAGCAATTTACGATGCAAAGAATTTATGATGATTTATGTAATAGATTAGATATTAAGGATGGTGAAAGAGATATATATAAGTTAGTCAAATAAAGAGATATGAGAAGTAAGGATTTGGTTCAAATGAAGTGTATTAAGGATGAAGATAAAAAAGTTTTTTTATTAAAAGAATATATTCAACAAAAGTTGACAAAATATTCTAATAAGATTTTCAATGAAGATTGTGAGAAAATGATTAATTGTAGATATCTTAGCACCCTAAATGAAAATAGAGATTTTAATTTTTATAGGTGTATTAGTAAAACCGAAGTTAGAGAGGCTTTAAACAAAAAATAAAGTGTAGTAAAGTTGTTGGACATGATGATATTCCAAGCCACTATTAGGTAAGCTGAGCATGGAAAAAATATAAAGATTACAATAGATTTATAACAAAAATAGGTTAAAGAATGATTATATTATATGGTAATGAGAGAAACATCACTAAAAATAAGGAATGAAAAAAAAAACTAGTTGGTTTGAACAACTACAAGAAATGATAGAAAATGTAATAATAAGATGGTTAACAAAATAAGACAAAGCATTAGCAAGAACAAATTAGTAGATCAAAAGTAAAATTGATAGGAAAAGCATAAGAAAATTTGCACAGATTAATTTAACACAAGATGTAGTGCTCAGCAAAAAATAATGGAAAATGAGGATCCATAAAACAAACAAAAAATAGTGGGAATAATAAAAGAGAAAACAATCATGAAAATGATAGAAATATCTTTAATGAAATAACACATTAAAGACTTTTGTGTCATCTGAGCTTGTCAAACAGCTACAATGATGCTTGCGGAGTTTTAATATGAACAACTTTTGTTTGATTAACAGTAAACTGTATCTATAATGACAGTACTTTTTATTCCTATTTCTTTGTAGTAATTCTTTTTACTTAAAAAGTCTTGGAGATCCTTCTTATTAAATAGAAATAAAAAACAATTACATAGTTACGAGACCATGAAAAGAAAGCAAATAGGCTGCTATAACAAAAAAGGGAACAAGCAAGATCATAACAATTGATAATGCTAAAACACTGCCTAGGAGATTATTATCATGCCTCTTCTTGATATTATCTAGTCTTTTTACTGTGACTAAAATTTCACAAAAGTAAGATTGGGGTACCATGTTATACAGGAAAACTTTTCCTCCCAAATTTTGTTGAAAAATATTTATTATTCCTCTCTTGGCATATGTTCCATATAGTTGACAGCAAGAAAATATCCCTAATTTCTTTTACTTCTTTCGTGACATATAAATCTCTCCATAAACAAAAATACAAAATATCACATCAACAAAAAATATTGAATTACTTTTACCAAAAACATTGCATCATAAAGTTGATAAATTAAGTATGAAGTTTACCAGGTTACAGCTAAATGTCAGTTAAAAAGCAGAAAGTGATAAACCATTGAATGAGCTTCTGAATGTCATAGACAACTTGAGAGAGGTCACCTTTGATTAAATAGTCTTCAAGCCTTAGTTTGCAAGAATTCACTTTGATAACATGTCCAAGAAAAATATGAGATGAAACAAATTAGAACGCTCTGCATTGAAATCAAAAGAAATATAATAAATAACAATATGGCTATTGGTCCAGCTGCAGTCCCTTACATGATTTTCTCTTTATGACAGTCCTATCAATTTTTAGTTAATATAATCTGATGAAACAGTTGCTTACATTTACTAACATTTTTAACAACATTTTCATGTTTGTTAAAACCAGCTTCAACATATTCCGCCAGTTCGTCAGTGTAATTAGAATTGATAACTTCATCAACCACACTTGATGTTTTGTAAAGTGGAGGCCTCCTGCATATCTCTATTCAAATAAACAATAATGAGACAAGCTTTCAAAGATTATTTGTATAATCGTGACAGTAAGATAATCAATGTTATCTTGCACAGTTGAAAGTAATGCACCATGAAAAAACAGCACAAAAATAAAGGAACCTTGATTGAAGGTATCTTCAATTTTACAACAATAATATATAATGAAGTGCTAGGCCTTGTGAAAACAAAAAGCCATCCATCAATAAACAAAAACTTAAGATGAGGAAAAAACATTAAATTTCATTTGCTACGAAAAGTCATTAATTTAAATAAGTTCCACATGTGCTTTGTAACATATAGGTGTATATAAAAGAAATGAATCATCAATTGATATGCATGAGCAAATATTTCACAACATTAGTAAATTAATCATTAGTTTGATGCTTCACAACCAAGCTCTTTTGTAGATTTATGAAAATTTTGAATTTTCAAAATATGTATGTGCCCCAAGCAACTTCGAGGAGAGAGAAAGATTGCACTTAATATTCCCAATTAGAGTCCTTATAAGTTCATATGCTTCTATACATAAAAATGTATATCCTAAATCATCAATGCTTATAAAAATTTTGAACAACAAAGAGCATCTGATTCCATTATAAGCACATTCAACATATTTTTAGTATTCCTTGACCTACACGTTTACAAAATCGCACAAAGAAAACTTATAATGATCCAATACTCACCTTGTTCTCGATAGAATCCTCTAAGGAACCCTTCCCCTGCATCAGCAAGCTCTTCAAACTTTGCACATCTAGAAAGCAAAAATAATTAGAAATCATTTAGCAAAGAAGGACATAGAAGTATATACAAGTTTTTTTTTTTTTGTTTCCCTCTCTCAAAAATGGATGCAAAATCAACCATGGACAACTAATTGCAAGGAATATTAATTGCTTCCATCACTTGCACAAGTTATACTAGCAACACATTTTATTTTATGAGCAAGTAATTACAATTGTGAAAATTGAAACAAAGAAAGCACGGTATGCACAAGCGTGTTCTTCTTTCTGCAAATCAACCAATGGATTAAAGTAATTTGAATGTGCATATACACTCATGGATTCCTTCATGCATTAAAATTTCTTTCATGGATAAATTTAAATTTGGATGTCAATTTGTTTGCATGCATATGGAAATTTTTGCGTTTGTAAGCTTTTGTGTCAGTCAATCTTTGTTCATGGTTTAGTCTTTCTGCACAGGTTCATGCACCCCTAGTGTGTGCACTGTTGTATTGTACTTTTGCTCCAATAGTCTATGTTCCTGAATTTCTTCATATATACAACAGTCATAGGTATATTCCTAAATACGTATGTATCTATATCCATGTTCTGAGACATTAATGCATGCAAAACTTACACATTTGCATGCTCATTTGCAAACATAGATGTTCTCGTTCTTATTCTCTTGTATAAATATGTGAAGGCAAAAGAAACATCTATTTTACCGATAAAAAGATCTGAAAACTTATTACGGGGACATCCTGACCCTTCATCTTGCCAAGAAAACAAGACGGCCCTTCATCATGAATGATCATGCCAATTTAGTGTATCTTTGCATATTCTGCCAGTAAGAAAGGAAACTAAAGGAAAGGTTAGGCTCTCAAGCTATTCAAGATTTTACCTGAGGTACAACACTCACACGAGTGATGAAGTTTTTGGGGAGGGAGTACATGACGAAAGGAAGAATTGAGGTAATTTCATAGGCTAATAAATGAGGATCTATATGTTCCTATTACAATCTCTCTCCTATTCTCCTCATCGTTATGATTACAGCTTAGCTAGTGGCAAGAAAACTTTCTTAAAGCACAACATCATAACTAGAAAATGATAAGTACAACAATGACAATTAAGAAGAATTATATGCGGGAAAAAATATAAAGACATGATAAATATGACATGACCAATAATGAAAATTCTTTGAATCATGAAAACTACAAAAAAGCACTCATTTGGAACATCTTGTTTGAAGCAATGAGAATCAAGGGAGTAACAATAACAACAACAAGACTTTATCCCACAATGTGGGGTCGGCTAAATGAATCTTTTTTTTTTTTTCATTGTGTCTTGTTAAGAGTCAAATTCGTTCTTACCTAAATCTAATAAAGAAATGTCATTTCTAATATTTTCTAACCAAGTCTTTTCAGGTCTACCTCTACCTTTCATAACATAAGTCAAATCTAATACATCTACTTTCCTAACCAGATCATCTAAAGGCCACCATTTTATGTGACCAAACTAACTAAGACGACTCTCTCTAATCTTATCTTCCATTGGAGATACTCCAACCTTCTCACATATATGCTCATTCTGTATCATGTCTCTAAGAATAAAGCCACTTATCCACCTGAGCATCCTCATCTCTGCAACACTTAACTTAATGTTATGATTCTCTTTTAATGGCCAACATTATGCACCAAAAAGCATTGCAGGTCTCACTACCATCATAATCAAGGGAGTAACAATAGATTTTTTCTATTCCACTCCCATCTAATAAATAAATTTTGAAACCACCTATCCACCAAAGTATCAGCATCCTAAATGTGTTCATATGAATTATAAGACAACTAAGAATTGTGGTCATCAATGTCTTTAAAAATGGGAGGGTGCTAAGATGTTTTAAGATCAGGAAAATAAGAATCAATGATATTGCTTGTAGATGATATAGTGATCAACTCTGTGATACCAGCGAGGATGGAACACAATCTAATTCCAAAGGAGAGTTTATAATTACTTATATGTTTTAAGTGTAAATATGATTTGATGGAGGAGTAACAACCATAGTGGAAGAAGATTAGTTTCAAAAATTAGATTATATGTATCATGCATAATAGTTAAATTTTCTAATATCTTGATAGGCCTTAAAACATTTAGAGTTATTATGTTAAAAAAATTTGAAGATGAATATGATGGGATGCATTAAAATCCAGCATTTTGCCAGTATCCACGAGATGAGAAGCCAATCAACACTTATCCAATTCAATTAAAACTCTTAACCACAAAATTCCTAGAATGACCAAAAGTATTAGCATTCACTTATAAAGGTTTACCAAAAATATAGCACATGGAGAATATAATGAATTGATTGAAATAATGCAATGAATCTGAGGGAATGTAATCCAATATATGAGTGATGAGTGGCTCCTCAGAAGAATAAAAATGGGGAGAAAATATTAGCATGAAGAGGGTCGATGAGTCCAAAGCAATAGTCAAGAAACACTATAAAGCTAACAAGAGTTTGTTATTAAACTCCAAATTGGGGCAACTCAAAGAGAATTTATGAACAACAGAAAAAAGAAAATGGCCTGACATGCGTACATATCTCATCTTCAATGTAAATGAACGCAGGTTTGCCTTGATACGTGAATGATTGCCTTAAGTTGAAGTGAAGCTGAACCTTAATGAGAAAATAAAAGGAAGTGGTCAGATGAAGAGGAATGCAATCCAAAATCATTCAACTCAGCAATAACCTTCTTAAAGGAACAGGTAGGTTGAGCAACAACATGCATAATTTATGAAGGTCTAAAAGGAGCCTCCACGAATTAAGGAATCATCCAACCGACTAGATGTGACAAAGACCAACTTAGGGGTTCAACTAAAACCCTAATAGCAAGCAATTTGAGAGAAGAAAAAAAATGAGTTTGGATCTTAGTGAGGGCATGTCGATACATGCTACACAAAAAAGATGAGAATACAAGTGGCATAGATTATGAATGAAGAAGAGTGACACGGTCATCTAAAGGGTGGAGAAGTAATTCTCAAAAAAGAAAAGTGAGAAGGTTGAAACCTTACATAGAGAAGGCATCAAACAATTGTCTTAAGAATGACAAGAAGTTATTGCAAGCCTTAAACATAAGCGTAAGGCAAGAGGGGTGATGAGGACATCAAAGATCTACGGCTATGATCGTGTCTATTTATTTTGATCTATTTTATGTATTTGATTTGTTATTGTTCTTTTCCCTTTCTACCCTCACTTGAGGGCATTGTCTTATGTATGCCCTAGGGGCAATAGTGTCTTTGTTATTTCCCTTCATGTATTTGGCTATTTAAAGCCTCCCTCATCTTCTTGGAGAGTTAATGAATGAATATTATGAAAAATTTCTTACACTTGTGTGCTTTGAGAGAGTTTGAGAGTTTTTGGAGTGAGCTTTGGAGAAATCCCTAGGGAGGGAAAATGAATCACCAACCAACCTTGGAGACGGCCGGGTTCGTGGTTTGTTTTATCGTTCTTGCCTTTCAATTTCTCTTCCTCCTAGTCATCGGATCTCCTAGTCCCCCCACCTTGCCACCGCCCAACGGCTTCCACCACCACCACCTCAAGCCACCATCGTCCTTCCCCCACTACACCCGCCGGCCTTAACCACTCTTCCTTTCTCGGCCAAAATCCCACCGCCACCATAAACCTACCGGCAACCCACCACCCAAGCCCTCACACCCACCGACCCTACTTGCCCTTCCTTTTCCTTCAAATCTCCTCTAAGGAAAGGATTGAAGACTTGCCTAATTTAGATCATCTTAAATTTGGAAAGATTTCAATTTTCAAATTCAAATAAATTTGAATTTGAATTCTTTCTTGAAATAAGATTAATCTAATTTGGACAATTTTCAAATCTCTTTAAATCTGAATTTAATTGGAGATTCTCTTTAATTCTCTTCCCTTAATTAATATCCTATGTTTGGAAAGAGATTTAAAGCTCAATCAATTTTCCCTCATACATGGCCGGCCCCCTTCTATCTAATTAATTCAATCAATTAATTAGATACTTGCATATAATCCTCTTTCCTAAATAAAAATGCCTAAGTTTGAAAAGTCACTAATTAGTAATCAATCAAAATCTGAGATTGATTATTTAATTGGTTAATTTCATCCTCTTTCCTAATTAAAGATGCCTAAGTTTGGAAAGTCACTAATTAGTAATCAATCAAAATCTAAGATTGATTATTTAATTGGTTAATTCCCCCCCCCCACAGGAATTGCATCTAGACACCCCATCCCCCCTCTCTCTCCTATCTAATTAATGCCCCAATTAAGCCTCCAATCCCTTGATTTGTTTCCAAATTAGAAACCAAATTCTTGGAAACTTTCAATCCCTTCTCCCTCCAATTTAATTTGGGGATCTAAGTAACTTGCCACCTAAGCAAGCAAATCCAGCCCAAGGATATTCCTGCTGCTGTTCACGAATTCCCCCCTACAATTTTCCTTAATTCACTGCAAGAATCCAACCCTAAACTTTTGGACAGCACATCTCTATGTCCAAAAAATTCTGGACAGCAAGTTACTCAATCCTGGAATGCTGGACAGCAACTATAATAGCATGGACAGCAGTGTGTATGGCTTGGAATCCTTGGGCAGATCACAGGACTTGCCCATAAATCTGAATAGTATCTTGGAGGGGAAAATTTCAGACTTCCCGGTCTTTAGGTGCAGTGAATTAAGGAAAATTGTAGGGGGGAATTCGTGAACAACAGCAAGAATATCCTTGGGTTGGATTTGCTTGCTTAGGTAGTAAGTTACTTAGATCCCCAAATTAAATTGGAGGGAGAAGGGATTGAAAGTTTCCAAGAATTCGGTTTCCAATTTGGAAACAAATCAAGGGGATTAGAGACTTAATTGGGGCATTAATTAGATAGGAGAGAGGGGAGGATGGGGTGTCTAAATGCAATGTATGTGGGGGGGAATTAACCAATTAAATAATCAATCTCAGATTTTGATTGATTACTAATTAATGGCTTTTCAAACTTAGGCATATTTAATTAG